AGTCCTCTTCACATCCAGCAAGTAAGGTTGTGTTAGCCACATATCACAGCTTGTTAATGAGTCTTCCTCCTATCCTGATGCCGCTTTCTTCTTCATATAGTCCAGCTTCTCAGATTATTTGTCCAACATACAGATTAAATAAGTGTAGTGAAAAGATACAACCATGATGCACACTTTTCCTGATTTTAAATCACGCAGTATCCCCTTGTTCTGTTGGAATGACTGCTGCTTGGTCTATGTACAGGTTCCTCATGAGCACAGTTAAGTGTTCTGGAATACCCATAGAAGCCCTGGTGGTGCAGTGGTTAAGTGCTCGGCTGCTAACTGAAAGGTGGGCAGTTCGAACCCACCAGCCGCTGTGAGGGAGAAAGACATGGCAGTCTGCTTCTGTAAAGATTCACAGCCTTGGAAACCTTATAGGACAGTTCTACTCTGTCCTATGTGGTACCTATGGGTCAGGATTAACTCGACGGCAGTGGGTGGGAATACCCATTCTTCAGAATTTTATCCATAATTTGTTATGATCCACAGTCGAGTGCCTTTGCATAGTCAATAAAACACAGGTAAACATTTTTCTGGTATTCTCTGCTTTCAACCAAGATCCATATGACATTAGCAATGATATCCCTGGTTCCACATCCTCTTCTGAATGCAGTTTGAATTTCTGGCAGTTCCCTGACAATGTAATGCTGCAACCATTTTTGAATTATCTTCAGCAAAATTTTACTTGTGTGTGATATTAATGATATTGTTCGAGAATTTCCACATTCTATTGGATCACTTTTCTTTGGAATGGGCACAGATATGGATCTCTTCCAGTCAGTTGGCCAGGGAGCTGTGTTCCAAGTTTGTTGGCATAGACTAGTGAGTGCTTCCAACTTGCATCTGTTTGTTGAAACATCTCAATTGGTATTCCGTCAGTTCCTGGAGCCTTGTTTTTCACCCATGCCTTCAGTGCAGCTTGGACTTATTCCTTCAGCACCACGGGTTCTTGATCATATGCTGCCTCCTAAAATGGTTGAACATCAACTAATTCTTTTTGGTACAGTGACTCTGTATTCCTTTCATTTACTTTTGATGGTTCCTATGCCATTCAACATTTTGCCCATAGAATCCTTCGATATTGCAACTTGAGGCTTGATTTTTTTTTTTTTTCCTTCAGTTCTCTCAGTTTGAGAAATGCCAAGTGTATTCTTCCTTTTTGGTTTTCTAACTCCAAATATTTGCACATTTCATTATAATACTTTACTTTGTCTTCTTGAGCCACCCTTTGAAATCTTCTGTTCAGCTCTTTCACTTCATCATTTCTTCCATTCTTTTTAGCTACTCTACGTTCAAGAGCAAATTTCAGAGTCTCTTCTGACATCCATTTTGGCCTTTTCTTTCTTTCTGGTCTTTTTAATGACCTTTTGATTTCTCCATGTATGATGTCCTTGATGTCATTCCACAACTCACCTGGTCTTCAGTCATTAGTGTTCAATGAGTCAAAACTATTCTTGAGATGGTCTCTAAATTCAGGTGGGATATTCTCAAGGTTGTACTTTGGCTTTCATGAACTTCTTTTAATTTTCTTCAGCTTTAACTTGAACTTGCATATGAGCAATTGATAGTCTATCCCACAGTCAGCCCCTGGCCTTGTTCAACTAATGATATTGAGCTTCTCCATGGTCTCTTTTCACAGATGTAGCCAATTTTATTCCTGTGTATTCCATCCTGTGAGGTCCACTTGGATAGTCACTGTCTATGTTGTTGAAAAAAGGTATTTGCAATGAATAAGTTGCTGGTATTGCAAAATTCTATCATGCAATCTCCTTTGTCGTTTCTATCACCAAGGCCATATTTTCCTACTACGGATCCTTCTTCTTTGTTTCCAACTTTTGCATTTCAATCACCAGTAATTATCAATGCATCTTAATTGCATGTTTGATCAATTTCAGCTGCAGAAGTTGGTAACAATCTTCAGTTTCCTCATCTTTGGCATTAATAGTTGCATGTAAATTTGAATAATAGTATTAACTGGTCTTCCTTGTAGGTATATGAATATTATCCTATCACTCACTGCATTGTACTTCAGGATAGATCTTGTAATGTTCTTTTTGATGATGAATGAAATGCCGTTCCTCTTCAATCTGTCATTCCCAGCATAGTTGAACATATGATAGTCCAATTCAAAATGGCCAATGCCAGTACATTTCAGCTCACTAATGCTTAGGATAAGGACCTTCAAGCACTCCATTTCATTTTTGACAACTTCCAATTTTCCTAGATTCATACTTCGTACATTCCCTGTTCCAATTATTAATGGATGTTTGCAGCTACTTCTTCTCATTATGAGTCATGCCGCATCAGCAAATGAAGGTCCCAAAAGCTTGACTCCATCTACGTCATTAAGGTTGACTCTACTTTGAGGAGGCAGCTCTTCTTCAGTTGTATTTTGAGTGCCTTCCAGCCTGAGGGGCTCATCTTCTGGCACTATATCAGACAGTGTTCTCCTGCTATCCGTAAAGTTTTCACTGGCTAATCTTTCTCAGAAGTAGATCACCAGGTCCTTCTTCCCAGTCTGTCTTTAGTCTGGAAGCTCTGCTGAAACCTGTCCAGTATGGGCGACCCTGCTGGTATTTGAAATACCAGTGTCATAGCTTCCACCATCACAGCAACATGCAAGCCGCCACAGTATGACAAACTGACAGATGAGTGGTGGATAAGATGGGGTTATGGGTTATTGGGATGAAGAACACAGAGGTAAAGTGTCATTTTCATCACATACAAGAGTACATATATCAACATGATTTATGACTGTTGATGTTGACCTTGATTGCCTGGCTGAGGTAGTGTTTGTCAGATTTCTCCACCACTCTTTTTTCCCCTTCCCATACTGTACCCTTTAGAAGGAAGTCACTATTTACAGTCCACACCTAAACAATGGGGAGTCTTGCTCTCCCTCCTTGAGGAAGAGTATCTACATAAATTATTTGGAATCCTTCTGCATGAGATACTTCTCTTCCGTCCAAATGGCAGAGACAAAAGCAAAATGAATGATTGCTGTTGCTTTAAGCCACTGTGTTTTGGGGGTGCTTTGTTATGCAGCAATATGTAACTGATACATCAGGTCACTGAGACTGGAGGATTGTTTTGGGATTTACTTGATGTATGTTCTTGGACAAGTCAGTTAACCTCTCTGAGATGCTGAGCTTTCTCATGTGTAAAATGGTGCTTTAATACTCATCTTGCAAAATTAACATGAAATTAAATGAAAGACTGTAGGTACAGAACCTGGAGCATAAAGGGTGATTATTATATCAACTCACCAATCAGTGCCATCTCTGGGGGTCCCGTGGCCACCCCAGCCACAGTAGCAGCCGTAGAAACCATAGTTCATCAGGGCATTCTTTCCAGTTACCTTCTCAATCATTGACTTCAGGTCTAACAAGCTCCCTGGCACAGTATGCACACCTGAAAGACAGCCCACGTCCCCAGATGAAACCTAGGCACCCCTGCTCCAGGCCCACTTTCCCAGCATGCTCCTGCCCTTTCTCCCATCCTGGGGCTTGGAGGGACCTAAGTGGGAGAAGAATAAGAAAGGTAAGGGGGAAAAGTACAAAGGAGTGGTTAAGAGTTTAGACATGGAAAATGAGCAGACCTGGGTTCAAATCTTGTTGTTGTTAGGTGCCGTCAGGGCAGTTCCGACTTATAGTGACCCTATGTACAACAGAACGGAACACTGCCCAGTCCTGCGCCACCCTCACAATCATTGCAATGTTTGAGCCTATTGTTGCAGCCACTGTGTCAGTCCATCTTGGTGAGGGTCTTCTTCGTTTTTGCTGACCCTCTACTAAGCATGATGTCCTTCCCCAGGGACTGGTGCCTCCTAATAACACGTCCAAAGTATGTGAGACAAAGTCTCACCATCCTCGCTTCTAGGGAGCATTCTGGCTGTGCTTCTTCCAGGACAGATTTATTCATTCTTCTGGCAGTCCATGATATAGTCAATATTCTTCACCAACACCATAATCCAAAGGCATCAATTCTTTGTCAGTCTTTCTTATTCATTGTCCAGCTTTCACATGCATATGAGGCCATTGAAAATATCATGGCTTGGGTCAGGTGCACCTTAGTCTTCCAGGTGATATCTTTGCTTTTTAACACTTGAAATAGGTCTTTTGCAGCATATTTGTCCAATGCATTACGTCATTTCATTTTGTTTTAAATTGTGTTTTAGGAGAAAGTTAAAACATGATGTCAGATGAATCTTGGCTGAAAGCAGAGAATGCCAGAAAGATGTTTACCTGTGTTTTGTTGACTATACAAAGTCATAACAAATTATGGATAACATTGCAAAGACTGGTAATTCCAGAACACTTAATTATGCCCATACGGAACCTGTACATCGACCAAGAGTCAGTCATGTGAACAGAGCAAGGGGATACTGCATGGTTTAAAATCAAGAAAGGTGTGCATCAGGGTTGTATCTTTTCACCATACTTATTTAATCTGTATGCTGAGCAAATAATCTGAGAAGATGGACTATATGAAGAAGAATGTGGCATCAGGATTGGAGGAAGACTCATTAACAACCTGCAATATGCAGACGATACAACCTTGCTTGCTGAAAGCAAAGAGAACTTGAAACTCTTACTAATGAAAATCAAAGACTACGTCCTTCAGTATGGATTACACATCAACATAAAGAAAACAAAAATTCTCACAACTGGACCAATAAACAAGGTCATGATAAATAGAGAAAAGGTTGACATTGTCAAGGATTTCATTTTACTTGAGTCCACAATCAACGCCCATTTAAGTAGCAATCAGGAAATCAAATGATGTAGTGCATTGGGCAAATCTACTGCAAAAGACCTCTGTAAAGCTTTAAAAAGTAAAGACGTCACTTTGAGGACTAAGGTGTGCCTGACCCAAGCCATGATATTTTCAATTGCCTCATATACATGCAAAAGCTGGACAATAAATAAGGAAGACAGAAGAATTGATGCCTTTTAATTATGGCGCTGGTGAAGAATATTGAAAATACCATCGACTGCCAGAAGGAGGAACAAGTCTGTCTTGGAAGAAATATAGACAGAGTGCTCCTTGGAAGCGAGATGGTGAGACTCTGTCTCACTTACTTTGGACATGTTATCAGGAGAGACCAGTCCCTAGATAAGGACATCATGCTTGGTAAAGTGGAGGGTCAGCAAAAAAGAGGAAGACCCTCAACGAGATGGATTGACACAGTGGCTGAAACAATAGGCTCAAACATAACAACGATTGTGAGGATGGCGCGAGACCGGACAGTGTTTGTTCTGTTGTACACAGCATCGCTATGAGTCAGAACCAACTCGATGGCACCTAACAACAACAACAACAGATGAAAGTTTACAGCACAAATTAGCTTCTCATTCAAAAATTTATACACAAATTGTTTTGTATCATTGGTTGCAATCCCCACAATATGTCAACACTCTCTCCCTTCCCCTTTACACCCTGGGTTCCCTGTGTCTATTCGTCCAGGTTTCCTGTCCCTTCCTGCCTTCTCGTCTTTGCTTTTGGGCAGGTATTGCCCATTAGGTCTCCTATACTTGATTGAACTGAGAGGCCTGTTCCTCACATGTGTTATTTTTTGTTTTATAGGCCTGTCTAATCTTTGGCTGAAAGGTGGACTTCGGGTGTGCTTCAGTTCTGAGTTAGGGTATCCAGGGGCCCGTCGTTTGATTTCCAAGGGCTTTTATTGTGGATCCAAGTAAAATGAAATCCTTGACAACTTCAATCTTTTCTCTGTGTATCATGATGTTGCTTATTGGTCCAGTTGTGAGGATTTTTGTTTTCTTTAAGAAACTCAGAGCAGGATGAGACCCTTGCAACCAACTTCCCCATTTTACACATTGGGAAACCGAGACTCGGTGAAGAAAGGTGCCATGTTCAGGGTTTCACAGTGATTTAGAAACTAAGCAAGCTCAAGAAGACATTATCGCCTTCCCAGACCATTGCAGTGGCAAACCCACCATCTGTCCAACTCAGCGTCTGGTTCCGATGAGGATGATGTCTATAATATTAATAATAACCATTCCTGACTTGAGTCCCTTACACCAGCTCCCTGAGCCTCCATTTTCTCAATTGCAACAGCTAACACTCACTGAGCCAATTCTCTGTGCTCAGCACGTTCTAAGGTCTTCACATGTCTGAACTCACTTAATCCCTAAAACCAACCTGGGAAGAAGGTGCTACTGCTGCTGTTGCTACTACTACTACTATTGCTACTCCTTCTGTTACAATTGCTGCTGCTACTACTACTGCTGTTGCGTACAGTAGTACTGCTACAATAGTATAGTAGTACTGCTACTACTACTGCTACTCCTCCTTCTCCTCCTGCTACTGCTACTACTAGTAAACGAACAAAAAAACCCACTGCCGTTGAGTTAATTCCGACTCATAGTGACCCTATAGGACAGAGTAGTACTGCTCCATAGGGCTTCCAAGGCTGTAATCTTTACAAAAGCAGACTGCCACATCTTTCTTCCACAGAGTGGCTGGTGGGTTTGAACCGCCGACCTTTCGGTTAGCAGCCAAGCGCTTTAAGCACTGCGCCACCAGAGCTCCTTACTACTACTACCGCCCTCATTTTGCAGTTGAGGCAACTGAGACACAGAGAAGCTGAGTCACTTGTTCAAGGTCGCTCAGATAGTAAGTGGCGGAGCTGGGATTCACACCCAAGCAGTCGAGCTCCAGAGTCTACCGACCAAATCCCTGCACTTGGCTGCATCTCTGCACAGCAGAGTTGAGGCCGCTGCCTTAGCAACTTTGCAGGATTGCTGTCTGCGTGCACCATTTGTAATCTGTAGTGTGAGCAGTCCCTTCTCTTACTCATGTTGGGACTGGTCCCTATCTTTCCACGGCCAAGGAGTCTCCAGGGATCTGGCAGGGAAGCAAAGGACTACCTGTCAAGGGGTTGTGTCTGTGGTTACAGGCCTGCAGGGAGCCCTAAAGCCAGGTGCTATACAGTTACCTCCCAGCTGGGAAGTGGCAACAGTGGGTTGTGTCAAAGGCCTTGACAAGCCTGAGCAGAGAATGACCCAGGAATCATGCACTAGATTATGTGTATAAGGGTCTTGATTTTTATTTGTTTTAACTTTATTTTGTTTTATTCTGCATCCAAGTAAAAAATCTGCCTCCCAAATTTGCAAACCACACATCCTCCATAGATCACACCCTCTACACACCTGGCATACGTTGTCTCCTGGAATCCTTCCCCAAGCCCACCAGTTGAGTATTATTATCCCATGTTACCGGTAAGGAAACTGAGATTCAGAGAGGGGAAGGCTCTTGCTGACATCTATACAGTTGATAAGTGCAGAGTCAAGATTCAAACTCAAGTCTCTACAACCTCCAAAACTCATCTCCTTCCCACTACCTTATTACTCCTACTGGGTGGAAGGTCACAAGTTCAAAGGTCATAGGGTCACACTTACTACAAGTCAGGAACCAAGCCAGCATGAGGAGGGCCTTCATCTCTGGGGTTCTGGAAAAGAAAACACATCCCTGTGACATAACTATTAAGTGACGAGTCCAGGGCCCCTTCAGACTCCAGCCCAGTCTCCCCTCCGGCCCCACCTGTTCTGCTGGATAGGAAACAGACCAACTGAGGCATGAAAAGACTGGGCAAAATCCTCAGGGAGTTGATCCAAGAGGACCCGTGGTGGCAGAAGGCATTGTGGAGGCATTCGTGGGGATCTTGTCCCCAAAGAGGCAAGAGAGAACCTTCCCACCAGAAGTTCACCTAACTGCAAATGCCCAGACCCCCTGGGAGAAAATGGCAAAACGTAACCAGAGAAATAGGCGAGATTCTCCAATGGAGATTTGGTGGCCCAAGTTGAAGGGCAGGAGTGGGCATTAGCTAAATATGGCCCTTGGTGAAGGATGCAAGATCCCGGCAAAGAAAAAAGAATCCTGGACTGAAAGAGCAACTAGTGCAGGGGTGGGAGAACGGAAACCAATGTTTCTATGTCTGTCGTTGTTAGCTGCTGTCCAGTCGGCTCTGTTTCATGGCGACTTTATGTGTAGCCCTTACTGTGTCCTCACTGTGCCCTCACTGCCCTCACTGTGCCCTCACTGCACCCTCACTGTGCCCCTCACTATGCCCTTACTGTGCCCTCACTGTGGCCCTCACTGTGCCCTCACTGCATCCCTCACTTCATCCCTCACTGTGCCTGCAGCCTCCCTCCTCAGAAGTATGGGTGCTCCTTTGAGCCAAGGGTGATGTGTTTCTTCCCATCCTCTACCTTCTGGGACAGAACTCCCATCTTCCCTCCTCAGTATGTGCCTTTGGCGAATACACCCATCGCTTGTCTAGAGACCAAAAAATCATACACAGAATGCAAAGGAAATTCCAAGCATATCGGGCCATGCTTGGTTCTAATTTGGCCTCTCAGATGTACCTTACTGGCAGCTGCTTGCTTCTCTTCCCTCCCGAAATCCTTGCTTTTCCGCAGCTGCTCTGCGGGCACACTGTCTGCTGCGTCTTCCCCTTCGGTGCCCTGCCGTCTCCGAGTCCCTGGATTCAGTGGTCCCTTGTGCCAGTGCTCTGTCCCTAAGCCCTGGCACTGCCCAAGCCTGGTCTACAAACACAGAGACTTGGACTCTCCAGGGCTCCTGGCTTACTGGCCCCTCCATCCCGCCCTTTGTCCAGCAGCTCCTCTGAGTTCCAAGGACATTCCTGAGGGTTCTGTCTACCCACAGCCTCCGCTCTGAGGGCTCTACCCTGCCAAGGAAAATGGCTTTAGACCCTGCCACTTCTGCACCTAATTTCCTCTGCTGCCTCTCTGAGCTTTGACAGCAGGAAGACGAAGGTGCCAGCTACCACTTACTGGGCTTTGCCATGTGCCAGGCAGATGGGTGCTGTTGGGGCTGCTCTGCCGACAGACGGTCCATCCCCTTTAATGGTTGTTTGTTGAACAAATGAATGACAGCTCTTGAATTTTACAGGTAAGGAATGGAGGCCCAGGAGGGTGAAGTGAGTTGCCCAAGGGCTCAGCCCAGGACTCTGAATCTTACTCCTTAGACCAACTACTCCACTGCCCCGAGACGTATCCCTGCGACGCTTGCTGTGGATACGACGGGCAGCACAGGCCCACAGAAACAGGGGTAAGAGGGGAAACAGAAGTTTCACCGTGGGGGTGGCAGAGGCATCGAAAGAGCTTCCCCTGGGCCTCTGGGGACATGGACCATCAGTCTAGCCCTAAGCAGACCTCAGCAAAGGGATGTGGGGTTTGCTATTTTTATCAAGCAACCACAGAGAGGAAGGAGTGAGGCCACAAGATAATTTCTTGGCATGGTAGTGGCGGCAGAAATGAGAGATTGACAGAGCAGAGACAGACAGCCTGGTGGAAGCGGGAGGGCTGGGATGGCAGATCACCAGTGGGACAGGTCCTCCACGGTCCACACGCAGCAGCCCCCATTCCTGTGCTCTCAGGACCCCCGGCTCGTGTCTCCTGGCCGGAGAGGACAAACAGCACCAAGCCCCACTGTACAGCATACAGAAGGCATCGCTGAGGGCTCCCCTTCATTTGCAAGGGAGGAAATGGGGGTGGGGGAGGCAGGTGTCCCCCTGGCAGCCCTCTTTCTGTATGCTGCTCCCCCCCACTTCAGGCCAGGCAGCCCCAAAGTGGACATTCCTCACCTGTGTGTGTCTCTCTGTCCTCAGGCTGGGAGAAGGGGGCGCAGCTGTATCTCCCTGATTATAAGGACCGCCCTGCCACCTCCCACACTGGGGCTGTTTTAACCCAGCTCCACAGTTCCTGGTAACTCACATAGGAAGTCCTCACATCCCCCCGCCCCTAGACCCTTGGGGATTTTTTCCCCTCTCCATGTTCAGAGCAGCTACTCACTGGAGCACATCATCTCGGTGCGTGGGTAGCGTTCAGGAAAGACATGAAGGAGGGTCCGGCTTGGGCCACCATGTTCCCGAGCTCTGAAATCCCCCTCCTGGGCCACCTTCCCTCCCAAGACACGACACTGGGGCTTTGTCAAGTCCTCTGACCCCTTTGCTCTGCAGTTTTCCCAGGCCACCTCGGCTGCTCTTGTTTCATTCTGTCTGGTTCAGCCTCACCCCAGGGGCGACCACTGGAGCCAGGCAGCAGCCCTTCCAGACTGGAAGCTCAGCCCCCTCCTCTAGCTAGTGTTCTCGACCTGCCAACCCCCAAATGTTGCTGCCCTGTTCCTAGGCTGAGCCACTCAGGAACCTAAGAAAGCCCCACTCTTTGGAGCTGCTGCATGTTGTCTCCCCAACTCCAGCCAGTACCTCCTTTTGGCATCTAACTCCCTGCTGAATTTCTGCCTTGTTTCCCTTTGGGAAAGAGAAAGCAGCAGGCTTGCAGTTAGAATCCCAACTCAGATACTTTAGAGCTGTGTGACCCCATACAAGTCACCACACTTCTCTGTTTCTTCATATGAAACAGGAGAATCATGACCCCCTCCCACCCCAGAGGCACATGGTGAGGAATATACTGTATAAGCCGTGGCAAGTAGAGCATGGAGCCGTGTGGCTTCGTGGTTAACATCACAGACTCTAGAGCAGCCCCTGGGTTCAAATTCTGGCTCCCCCACTAACTAGCTACGCCACCTCAGGTAAGTTGCTTCAGCTTTCTCATCTTTAAATGGGCTGATTGTAGTCCACCTTCCTCAAAGGGTTGTTGTTAGAATTAAATGAATTAATAAATTTATAGCACTTAGAGCAGTGGTGAACGGGTGGAAATGCTAATAAATAAATGATAGCTAACCTTATAGAGGAGCCCTGGTGGCTCAGTGGTTAAGAGCTCGGCTGCTAATCAAAAGGTCAGCAGTTCAAATCCACCAGCCCCTCACTGGAAACCCTATGGGGCAGTTCTACTCTGTCCTATAGGGTCACTATGAGTAGAAATTGACTTGATGGCAATAAGTAAAGGTAACAGGTAACCTTACAGAGAGGCAGTGGTGGTGGTTCAGAGGTAGAATTCTCATCTTCCATGCAGGAATCCCTGGTTTAATTCCCAGCCAATGTACTTCGTGTACAGCCACTATCCGTCCATCAGTAGAGGCTTGCATGTTGCTATGATGCTGAACAGGTTTCAGTGGAGCTTCCAGGCTAAGACAGGCTAGGAAGAAAGGTCTAGCAATCTATTTCGGAAAATCAGCCTGTGAAAACCCTATGGATCACAATGGTCTGGACTGCAACCGGTCACCGCGATGGCACAGGACCTGGCAGTGTTTCGTTCCGTTGTATATGGGGTCCCCATGAGTCAGGGGTGGACTCGACGGCAGTTAGCAACAATAACCTTATAGAATGTTCTCATTAGGACATAGGTAGCAATTATGATTCTCCATTCTCCACTTTTGTTAATCCCCACCCCACCCCTGACCCCACACACACACTTTTCTGAGAAGATGTGAATATGGACTCCTTCCTCCCCGCACAGTTGACTTCTTTTCCTCTCCGTCTCTCCTCTCCCAGCAGCATGAGAGAAACCCCTCCTCAGGCCCCCATGAACCTTTCTCTTCCTGGGTCTAACCATTAGGCTCCCCAGGGAACCCTGTGAATTCATTTCAATACAACAGATATTTATTGAGGGCCTACTATGTGCCAGGCACTGCCGGGGACACACTGTGTACTTCCCCCAAAAGTCCCTGCCTTCATGGAGCTTCCTTTCTGGTTGGTGGAAACAGACCACAAATACATCAAATATATTAATACATAATGCACTGAGTACCGGTAAGTCTTGTGGACAAGTAATGTATCGAGTAACGGTAAGTGTGGAAACGTAATGCATTGCGTAGCGGTGAGAGTGGACACGAAATGCATCCAGTAGCGCTACGTGTGGAAACGGAATGCATTACATAGCAGTGGGAGTGGACACGTAATGCATCAGGTAGCAGTAAGTGTGGAAACGTAATGCATTGAGTAGTGATAATTGTTGTGGAAACATTGCATTTGCATTTCTCGTTCACAATCGATCGCTTCCTCCGCTGAAAAGCACACACAAACCCTTCCACCCTAAACCAAACAGGTCCAAGGAAAGAAAAAAACCAATTCCTTGGCCTCTGCTGACCTTTCTCTCCAGCTTTCTTTCTCCCCTGAAAGCCAAATTTCTAGATAGAGAAGCCTCCACTTCCTCATCGCCCACTCTTCTTAACCCTTTGCTGCCTGGCTATCCCTGAGCCTACTCTCTTGTTGTTGCTGGTTGCATGGCTACCTTGCGTATAACAGAAGGAAGTGTTGCCCAGACCTGTGCCATCCTCGGATCGTTGGTATAGTTGAGTCCATTGTTGCAGCGCCAGCCATCTGTCAGTTTGTTGTACTGCGGTGGCTTGCGTGTTACTGTGATGCTGGAATAGCAGCAAGGTCACCCATGATGGACAGGTTTCAGCTGAGCATCCAGACTAAGACAGACTAGGAAGAAAGGCCTGGCATTCTACTTCCAAAAATTAGCCAGTGAAACCCAGCTCTGTCAGGGATCCCCCAAAATCTGGTGTTGTGT